AGGACCTAATCCAGGCGGGTCTTGAATACCTCCAGAGAAGGAGACTCCACAGCCTCCCTGGGCAGCCTGGGCCAGGGCTCCGTCACCCTCAGAGGGAAGAAGTTCTTCCTCCTGTTCAGGCGGAACTTCCTCTGCTTCAGTTTGTGCCCATTGCCCCTTGTCCTGTTGCTGGGCACCACTGGAAAGAGTCTGGCGCCGTCCTCCTAACACCCCACTTCCTAAAGTGCTCTTCCTCCAGCAGTGCTTGCTCTCTCCTGGCCATGGAAGCCCTGAGAATGGCTGTTCTGGCCAACCCTGCTCAGGATAGGTACAACTACTTACTAACCATCTACCTCCTAACCACTAGTTATAACTACTTTGAATTATTTTTTTTCCAAGCAAAAATGTTCTTTCCTGCTCTGTGAATCTATTCTCTACTACTTGGAAGAGGTAAACTGGCCTGATTTCTGTATTTCTACCCTGTCTTCTTTTTTTTTTTAATCTTGCAATCTTTTCTTAGTAGGGATAAGAGTGTGAAATATGGCACAGCAGAACTTCATTAAGTGGCCAGACACGGGGCCTCCCTAAGCGCGTAGGCTATGCCAGCTTTCCTGTAAGTGCTTTGCCAATGAGCAGGCAAGAGATACAGCAATCTGGATCCGAAGGGTTGCTTCTCAGCACTGGCGGCGAGATGGAGATGTGCCTCCGAGCGCCTTTTGGCAGCATTGCCTTGCTGACTTGCTCTGCTCCCGGTTCCGAGCACGCTTGCAGCAGCTGGGGGAAATGCAGCCTCTCAGAGTGCTGTACCACTGCTCGGTGGTGGGGCTCGCAGCCCGGCTTCCAGATTGCTGTTCCTCCTCCTCAGGTCTGTTCCTGTTCCATCTCCCTCTTTTTCTCTTTGTCCATCTGGCCGTTTGGTTAGGTGAATTGTTGGGAGCTATCTCTGAAGTTTCTAGGCTGTGCTTGAAGTAACATGTTAAGCTTCTCTCTGTCTACTCGAGTGTGAAACACAGTCCCTCCCGCAACCCCCTAGTCTGAGTTAATTATTAAAATCCTGCTGGTAAGACATATGAGCATCTGTCTGTCCAGCTGCCACACTGATCCACTCTTCATCGTGTACTTGAGGAACATTCAGAGAGGTTTGAGGAATTGGTGTTGTGTATTTCAATGTATTCCTTTGTCTTTTCCCTCTGGAATATTCATCTTGGAATGGTGAATTCTTTTTTTTACCCTTCCTTTGTATTCTCTCTTGTCTGCCCAGTGCTTTGATCTGAATCCAGAGCTGTTCTGGTGGTCTGAATCTCCTCTTGAAATGAAAGCAGCCCTTATTAGTGAAACGGGGGGATTATTTCAGAGAATCTGGATGGCATCTTGGAATGACTTTGTACCTGGACAAAATACATGAGGCAGATGTATAAATGCATGTGTAATTACAAGTGTCCCTCAACTGCATCTATATTTAGAAACTGGAAGCCTGGGATTTGGCCTTTAAATGCTGTGGCATTGTCAGCAAGCCCGCTGAGAGACAAGGAAAGTGCTTCTCTGTTGTCTCAGGGCGATACAGCTATTCAGCACACATGACTAAAAAATAAACGTTGTATTTCCTATTTTGATAAGAAATGTTTCCAACTGAAAAGATTTTAAATAATTCTGCTGTCAAGCTCTGGGGGCTCCCATACAGAGTTCAGTTTGTTTCCAGAGCCATTACAGTGCTGGCTTGCCTGGTGATTAAGGAAATTTGGGGGGAGGCAGATCAGAAGGCTGTGAACTACAGAAAGTAAAACCATCTCTGATAGTCTCCCTAAGAAAAATCGTTTCAGAAGAGCTTTCAGAAAACTATTTTGGAAAAGAAACACAGCTGGCTCTGTGGGCGTCAGAGGTGGGTGTGAGCTTCCCTGTGGGACACAGTGGGGCGAGGCTGGGAGCGGAAAGCAGACTCTGTAAAATGCAGGTACTACAGTTTTAGTGCTCTTGTCTTCCTCCTCACATTGATGGCAAATGGATGGCAACCAGGTGCTACAACAGTTCAGAGTGATACGTGATTTTTTTTTGGCTGGCCTTCAACACGTTCCCGAGAAGGAGCTCGTATCACTGTTTGCTCATATTTCCCTTCGGGCTGGAGGTTAAAGAGGAAGCAGCAGCGCTTCGAATAGCAGCCCGTCAAGAAACAAGGGGGAGTGCGGTTACACAGGGATCGCTGGCTCTCCCTACAGCAGGGCTGGCTCCCTTCTGGGACTCCTGACCATCTTCCAGTCTGCACACCGCTTTGGGGAGTATTGCAGTGTCTTTAGACTTCAAATGTGTTGCAGAAAGGTTTTTTGGAAACAGCTATTTCCTAAACTTTCTTGTAACTGGTTCTTTTCTCCTGACTTTAGCATGCTGTTCCTATTTTGTAGTTTCACTTCTCTTCAACCCTCTCCAGCAAACGAAGCTGGCAAACCCCAGGAGACATCCTGGGATCTTTGTTCCCAGTCTCCCAGCAAGCAGTGAGCAACCAGAGGTCAATGAAGTGATTTTCTTGAATGCTCTTTTACTGTGCCCCATCAGTGCAGGTATCCTCTGAGGACATCCAGCCAGGGACACAAGCAAAGGAACGGCATTGCTTTGGATGTTGAGACCTTTTCATTGCTGCTGCCCTGGTGCCCTGCAGTGCTCCAGACAGATGCTTGTTGAGAAAGATGTCTCTGTGAACGCGAGGACATCCACAGTCCCAGTGTGCAATCAGTATTCATTTTACATCTGTGAGATGCATGGCTCGTGTGAGAGTCGTTGCGGTGCTTTTAGAATCCAAATGTGCTCAGTTTTTCCAATCTGTTCTTAACTGAAGTCAAATGAAATTTTTTTTTTTTTTTTTTTTCTGAGCAGAGCTGGAGTGTGATTGTAGGCAGAAAGCAGCGAGTGCTGTTTAGGACCTACTGTTCCTCCACCTGCCTACCTCCAGCCCAGTGCCTGTTCTGCTTTTTCAGTCTGAATTCACAAGCAAGTTCAGCTCATGCAGCACAATTAAGCCAGAGCCAGTTCAGAAAGGACCGACAAAATTTTTTTTTTTTTTTTTTTCTGAGCAGAGCTGGAGTGTGATTGTAGGCAGAAAGCAGCGAGTGCTGTTTAGGACCTACTGTTCCTCCACCTGCCTACCTCCAGCCCAGTGCCTGTTCTGCTTTTTCAGTCTGAATTCACAAGCAAGTTCAGCTCATGCAGCACAATTAAGCCAGAGCCAGTTCAGAAAGGACCGACAAAAGGGAGATTCAAGAAGGAAAGCAGCCTGTCTCTTACTTTGCCAAACACACATAGATGCCCCCGTAAGGAGTGGAGAAGGCCCTGGAGGGGGTCTTTGCATCAGCAAGGCAGAAGGTTTGGGAAGGCACCATCTGTGAACTGGGAGAGTGAAGCCCTGGGGACCGAGGTTAAGAGTAGATCCTGTGGTGCCCTGTGGAACAGCTTTGTTTCTGTGTTAATTGGGGGAAGCCCCAGGCAAAGAAATAGGAATTGAGTCCTTTTTTCTAAGAAAGCTGATTCTTTCCTTCCCTAACCAAAGTGGTGAGTGGCTTGTGAGAGGGAGAAGAGCACAGCAGCTCGGAGTGCTGGCTGTCTCCAGGAGGAAAAGCTTTTGCTGGGGAACATCCATGTGTCTCAGAACATGCAAACTTGGGAGAGAAAGACCAAGCTTTGCAGAAGATGTGATTTGGTGGGTACACGAGATATCTGTGGGCCACTGAAGAGCAATGCCTGGCAGAGGGAATAAGCCAAAGACTTCTGCCAAAATTGTGAGAAGCTGGGAGAGAAAACTGTCTCTAGAAATGTAGATAGCACAGCACCTTGCACTATGTGCGTTATCCTGTAGCTGCCAATCTAACAGTTATTCCCCATAGCCTTTAAAATGCAGGCAGCTCCCGTTAAACTCCCAGCTGTAACAGAGTTTTCCCTATTGTCTTTGCTATTCAGGCTGCTTTCACCCTGGTGCCATACTTCATCTCCGTGCCCTCCTCCACCTACTGTAAAACATATCCCATCTGTTGTGGTGATTATGTCAGGAGTTTGGCAGCTGTCTTCTCACTTAATTGTCCACATTTCTTAACATGTGCTTCCTGCAGCATATTTTAATAACAGCTCTGCAAACCGTTTTTGGGTATCTGTGGTGGAGTGGAGGGTACCTACACAATGTGCACAGCAAGGCAATTGGTTTCTATTCACAAGTTTTCTGGCTGGCATTCAAATGTTCTGCTCTTGTAACTCAAGTTTGCCCCTGGATACAAACACAGACACAGAAAAGTGTATCTGCAGAACTACCTGGCTAGGCTCCCTTTATTGGCAGTGGAGACAAGTCCTTTCTCCAGAGGGTAATTCAGAGCAGGAGCCTGGATTAGCTGCTCTGAATCTGTTTTTTCCCTCTTGACTCTACAGGGAGCTGAGGCAAAGGAGCTGCCACGTGAGGTTTCCCACATTAGGAAGCGTGAATGCCCCAAGCTCTGACTGCTGCTGTTCTGGGAGCCTCTTCTTTCCTACAGCGACTGTGTAGGACCCTGGCATGAGCAGTGTGAAGCAGTATCTGGATAGGTGCTAAAACTTTCAGTAATGGTTCAGTGGTTTGTGTGTATCCAGTACCTATTTCTGCTCTGTAGAGACACATAGATTCTCTGCCTGAGGATTTTATAATCTGTCCTTCAGAATAAAACTTCCAGCCCCTCGCCTTGTTTTGTGGTCAAAAGGAGTTGTTGGTTCCACATCAGAGTGACCTGAGAGGGCTGCCGGGGCACCCAGCACTTAGCACTCATCTGTGAAGTGATGCAGCTGATCTGTTCGGCCAGCTCTGAGTTTGTCTTTTACCATCTGCAGGGAGGGCTTTGTCATGTCCTGGAAGCTCAAAATCCCAAAGCTCTCATGGGTACTCTACTCCTAAGTGTGAAGCAAGTGTTGTCATTTTTAAATGAGCACCTGGCTGCTTACCAAACTCCTGCACTACTTGTGTGGCATTTCACTATGTAACCCCCACAATGGCATGGTTTAAATTATTGAACTAGCAAAGATGAGAAAAGAAAACAAAGTACCTCTCTTGGGGTAGAGATGATAAGGAATTGCTGGGGAAGTGTTTGCAAGAAGCTGCAATCATCACCGTGAGGTCAGCTCAGCTGGGTAATCGGACCTGAGGCTGACAGTGTGTCAGGCCAACAGAAGATGCAGAAGCACCACATGTGAAGAGCGTGGATGGAAATCGGACAGAAATGGTAAGGGAACAGGTTAGATGTGTTAAAAGCTAGGAACAGAGGAAGATCTGTTGAGTTTTGAAACTCATTTTAGGGTTATAAAGTTCATATTTCTCAGTTATCTGTGTTGCTTCCCATGCTGGGAAGAGCATACCCATAACACATGATTCTGACAGGATGCTTAGTGCTGCCTTGTTTACCTTTTTCTTCTAGATTTGCGAGGTTAATCTCCCAAACCCAAAATCTGAAGGTTCTTTTCTGGGTGCAGGAACCACTAACAAAGTGTTCTTGGGTCTGCAGCCTAGAAACTGTCTGATTTGGATGCTGTTCAGTCATGCTTCTGAAGCGTGCTACGTGGTGGTGAAACAGCTTTGTTTGAGTGCTGCAGGACTGCCTCAGAAATGGTTCCTCCACAGAAGCCTGCCTGTGAAATACTTATAAGGAACACAAAGCCAACGTATTTTGATCTGTGCTATCATTTCTTGAGGGTGGGGATCTTAGAAACTTTAGGTTTGCCATTGATTTTCTGATGACCTCCATCTGACAGCATATCAGACACTTGCAGTAAATGGAGATCTCTTGGCAACTCTTCTCTTTAGGACAGTGAACTCTTGACATTCAACATCTCCCGGCACCAGTCATGGTGGAGTGAAAATGGTCCTGGCTGTGTAAGGAAGGAGGCTTCGATGTCTGGCATCAAAGGGCTGGATAGCCATTCCTACATCTCTGTGATAGGCTGTGCCCTGGAGTATCGGTACATCGAGGTGATGCACAGCTCCTTCCAGATCCTGATCGCGGTGAGTACATCGCTGAGTGTGCCACGAGGCAGCAATGGCTGGGGAGATGCTGTTTGTTTTTTCCAGGCACAGAGGCTGGCCTGTATTTTCCACCCTATTTTGTATCATCTGATTGCAAAAGCCCCTGTAAATGTTTTCTTTGTTTGTTCTCCTATTCTTTTTTATGAACAATATTGCTAGAAAGAACTGGAAATGGATACCAGCAACCTAACACCTGAAATAATGCTTCATATGCAATAACAAATCATTCTGCATCCCTGTTGGGGTGTGGAAATTCATGTTTTGACAAGGACAGAGACGGTTCTGCAGAAGGATATCTCTTATTCCACATGACTTAGTGATGGGTGGTGGAGCACATATGTGCACATTTGTTCTGAAGAAATAAAAGGGAGAAGATCCTTATCTCCAGAAAAAGAAATAAAAGTTTAAGGAAGTGGAAAACAGCATGCTTGCTTTCTGCTGACACCAAAGATATGCACTGTTTCCATCAACTCTTTCCTCATCGGGGTCTTCCACAGGCTTTTTAAATCAACGTCCTTAATGTTCACTGTTAATTAATTGTTTCTCACTTGTCTGTGAAATTAACTGAAACAAAACGTGCATTGTCCCCCTTACTTTGTCAGTGCTCTTGCATTTTGTAGCTGCATTAGAGTTAGCAGCCCGCATCTTTCTAATCTGCTTTGGTTTGTTACTTTGTGGTTAATGGCTTTAAGCACAAATGGATGTGGGCTGGTGAAACATTCGCATTTCAGTTTTGGCTTGAAAAAGAAGGATAACTTGCCCTGATTAAATGTTAAAGGATAACAAATAGAGAAATTCCAAGCTTCTGGAGTGCCAAGTACTTCTCTGCACATTTTTGGTACAACTTTCCACTGTCTTGGTCCTGCATTTCCTATTAGCTGGGATGATCTGTGTGACCCAGTGAACTGCAGGGAGGGGGGAAGGCTCTGATCCCTTTCTTGCCATGTCACAGAAAAGAGGTGAACAGAGAAGCTCCTGTTTCCCGAGTTGGATGGACTCCCTGGCGTGTGCTGGCTGTTGCTATTTGGTTAGTTCTCCTTCAGGGAAAATGATCTGCACTAAACTGCCTGAGAGTTGCTAGGACGCATGTGTATGAGCAAGGCAAACCTACGTATCCAGAAGAATAGAGCCTGCTGTCTTTTATAAAGGGCTGTTAGCTGGAACAGGATTGATGCTGCTGAGCTAGTGCTGTTTCTGAGTTTGGTGAAACAACCGACAACCTCTAAAATCTGGATGTTCTGACTTCAAAGTGCAGAAGTGTGTCACTTAGCATCCTTCCTGAACGCCTGAGCTGGCAGGAGCCCCTTGCCCCAGGCTAGAGGTTCAGCCAACAAATGGTCCTGAGTTTGTTTGGAACAGACCTTTGTTTTATGGCAGCTAACTAACTTGGGCACACGGCCCTGAGCTAAGTGATCACGCCGTAGATAGGAGTCTGTATCTCCGGGAGTGTTTTCTCCTTTGCTTTTTCCCCAAAGGCACATGACAATATTCTCTGTGCATCTGCAAAACACCACAAAGGGCCAGATGGGGAAGCGGAGGAGGCAACTGTAAGATAAAACAGGATTTAGGTAAATATTTTCTTTCTCCTTCTCCATGAGATTAAAGTTGCAGTGGGTTTTTGAATCCTAAACCCTGGAAATGAGGCTAAAATACTTGTGTGCAAAAAAGCCATATGGGCTGAGCTATGCAGAGTGAGCTAAATTTTTACTTGTCCTGTAATAAAGGTAGAATATTGAAGCCCCAGGCCTGTAACTCCTGCCAGCTCTGAAATTTTGTCACGTAGTGGGAGAAACAGAGCTTTTCCTTTCTGCTTTGCCGAGGTAAGGCAGAAAGCAAGCCTTTTCACTTTCTCACTCAGACCTTGCCTGGAAACAGTCAGCCAGTTCTCTCCCTTTTTAGTCTCTGAGGGTCAAACTCTTTGATCCCTGCCAGTATCTTTTTCTGTTCTCTTTATCTCAGTTTAAGGCAGATTTTATTACAGGCTGCCATCCTTCCCAGAGCGCCTGGCAGGTACTGTGCTGCAGACAGGCAGGGAGACCAGATCAATAGTACAGAAAACATGACTAGGAACTTGAAGGTTCAGGGGATGCAGCGAGGGACACGACCTAGTTCCCTCCTTGTCTGACACACGTTTGAGACCAGAATAGTCAGTTCCCTGCTAAGAAGGGCAAGTGACAGGCAAAACTGGGCTTTCTGTAGTTTTCTGCTTTGTTTAATGGCTTTTAGAAGTTGTGGGGGTCTTGTGTTTTGGGGTTTTTTTATTCCAGATATGCTAGTGTGAAATCTATGTTCTTTAACTATGCAGCACCCAGCTGTGGAAATTTTGGTTGTTTTCTGGAAATACCAGTTCCCTGAGATTACTGAAGAACTGTAGTGTGCTGTGTTGTGTACCTGGGGTAAGGCTGAGTTCCCCCAACTGAATTCAATTTTGCATGCCAAAGGAGAGGGAAAGCAAACCTGAACCCATATGATGAGCACAGTGCTGGCTGTCATCTCGACTCCTGCTGACTATGTTGTCCTGCTCCTGGGCATACATTTGAAGATACATAAGTTCTCAGTCTGTTTTCTCTCAGAGCTGTACTCCTTCAAGGCAAAAGCAACTCCTTTAATCTGGAATGCGATCAAACTTGGGCATATCAGTTACCATGCATGATACAAGCAGCTGTAGGGCCCAGTACGACAATCTTTAATGCTTTAGCACAGAATATGTTGGAGGAGAAAGCTTATTGTAACAACATCTTAAAGTCTATACTGGTATAGAAATGTCACTGTAGAACTAATCCTACTAACTCAATTAGGAAATGCAACAGCAACTAGTTTGTCAAGAAAATAAATTTGCTTTGTTTCTATCTTAGCAAGGACTCATCTTGTATCTCCCCAAGTTGCCAGCCAGCAGGGAGAGGAGTGATTTCTAGTTCTGAAATACCTGGCATAGCTCTGGGCTGTCCATATGGTAGCTCTGGGAGTGGGGAGGGTTAGGCTTTTCCTGAGGCTTCATTGAATGGGATGGAAATGGGAAATGTCTTCCCAGCCGAGAGAACTCATTGCCTGCCTGTCTGCTGTTTCACTCAGGCTGACAGGTTGGAAGGTTCCCAGGAAGGCGGCAATGCAAGCCTTGACAGCAGATGTTATGTGAGAAGCAACGCGCAAGAGATGCTTCGCTGTTGGCAGAAGCTAGATTTTCAGTGGTCATAATTGCATCCAAAGAGTAAAGAAGGTCAAGGAATCAAAGGATTTTGATTGCCTCTTTTTGGCTATCGGGTCACAACAGCTTTTTCACAAGCTGGCTTTTTGCTTTCTCGTAGCAGAGATCTCCTCATTTTCCCCCCTCACACTGATGAGAGCATACATGCTTCATTAGCTCTGATTAGAAGTGAAACCTAGAATACGTCTGCCCTGCAGGAGGAGACTGCACATATTCTCTGTGGTGCAAAAACCAATGGCACGTTTTTTCTATTGAGACAAGAGTTGGAGAGCCCAGAATCTTCACCAGGACAGATGTAGGCTAAAGCCAAGATTTTACACAAGCAACAGTAGCACCTCCTGAAATTTGCCTTCCCATCCTTCACGTATTCTGCACACTCGCAACAAGCTGGTCCCTTTCTGTAGATCTTGCTATAATCCAGTCTTTCTGGCTCCGGCACTTTAGTTTAATGCTGCTGTTTTGTGAACACTTTTCAATTCACTATTAAAGTTAACTTCAGATGACTGAGGGGCGGAGGGGTGTACAGACTTGTGTTTTCCTCATTCCCTTTGGGCACACTTGCCTCTCCCTGTCTTTCCTGCTCTGTTCATTTGCCTGCAGAATGCTTGGGACATCCTAGCTCCATCCTCATTGTGCTGGGCAGCATGCGTGTTCCCGGGCTGTCTGACAGGCTGACTGAACACACCTGCCTACAACATGTGTTCCTAATAAAAAGCTTAATCGGATACTTCTGCAGCCTGGAGGAAGCTGGTACTGAACATGCAGAACAAGTAGAAAAACAGCAGCAGAGACTAAAACCCAAGAACATTCTTTGGGGAATTAGAGCAATAGCTTAGTGTCATTTTACATCACTGACGTTCTCCCTCCTCTTCCACTTCCCCTACATAATTTGCAAAGATCTAAGAGTTACTGCTATTTCCCTGGGACAGTAGAGCTTAAAACCCTTTTTTTGTATTGAAATCAGCAACTGAGATGGCACTTTGAGCAAGAGTGAAATAGCTTCCAAATTCCTGGCCTCTGTGAAGATTTCTGTTCTATGTCATTTGCTGCTAAACTTAGTGATGTTTGGGAGCTTGATACATCCTCATCAAGGATGCAGTCAGAAGGGAACCGTTGGTGTCTCTCGGAGTCTGCTTATCCCACATTCTAGCAGACTCTTCTGGTGGAAAGGACTGGGCAACAGGAGTGGCATTTCTCCTCTGTAGCTATATTTCATTCATAAATCATGCAGAAGGTGAGACATGGGAAGTCCCAGGAGTTCATTTCATCGCTGAGGTGACATGTTTAATTATAGTTTAGGTCAGCCCATACAAAAATGCAATTCATGTTTATGTTGTACATCTCTTCCCTACTTGCCACTAAAACTCTCCTGTTCTGATCAGGTCACAAGACTAGCAAAATTTCTTTGAATAAAAAGTGCCATTAATTAAACAGTTTTTTATTCATGAAACTCATGTAAAGAAGCAATGGATTATAAAGTCAACAAAAAGCACATTTTAAATACTAGGCAGGTAATTTTGAAACGAAGCCAGGAGACATAAGTAATAAAGAAGAAAGCCCTCGACTCTAATGAAGCTGGCATTAGAGATCTGGGGAAGTTTAGTTAATTCACTAGGTGTTGGTTGGTTTGTTTTTCTGAATGGAAAAGGTCACCTTACTCATAAAAGGAAAAACATACGAGGTGAGAGGAATTGGGGGTTATGAGGTATTAATATATGTGCAAAACAAACTTCCCAAGTCAATCTTCTGCTTGGTGCTTCTGAAATGTGAGAAGTTTTCAGAGGTTGAACAGGTTCCTCGTGATAGTATAGCTGATAATCTTTCATGCATTCTGCCCATAAACTGGGCAGGTAAGTCATTTTCATTGTTAATACTATCAGGAGTTCTCGGACATAGATATCACATAAGGTTTGTGCGTATGTTAGAGAGTATAGTAGCAGTGAATGGATTTAGGGCTGCCGCTTTGCATGGCTATTAAACCAAAGTTCCTACTCTAAGGCATGATGGAAAATCTGGGGTAAGAGAAAACCTTCCTAGAGTTCCCTTGGAATCAGGGCACACATTCAAAATCCATCTTTCCTGCATGGCTATTTGTGTGTATGTAAATTGCATGATTTGACCTTCTGTCCCATAAAATGTAAAAGGCTGGATCTTGAAACTACAGAAATGCTAGAGCGAGTACAAAGAATGTATGTAGCCACACTCCTAATTCGATCCTAGGGCGAGCGCAAACGCAGTTACGTTGGAGACCAGCACGTGCGGATGGGTAGTTACGAGATCTCATGCTGGGACGGCTTTCAGCTGAAGCACTCTGTTCTTCCAAAAGCCTCTCTGAGTGTTGACCGTCGCTAGCTGCCGCAGCCCAGCTGATGAGCGCTAATTGCTGATGACGCAAGGCCATGGGGAGCAGGCGTGGGGCTGCGTCAGCACCACGGCCAGCTCCCGGGGCCGGCCCTGCCCACACGGCCAGGGCGCGGGGCGGGCCCTGCCCTCCCGCCCACCGAAACGGCCCGAAACGGCCCGAAATGGCCCCAAATGTAGAAAGGAAAAAAGTTTATCCGGGTTTTCTGTTAGCACAGCGCAAGCAATGGAAGAGAAGAAAAATCTGTGATTATTCTGATTTTTTTTTCGTTTGGGGTTGTGTTTTTTGCTGCCTGTAAGAAGCAATGGTTCTACTCAGAGGCAATTCTAAAAGTCAGCAGGTAAAATTAGATTGGCTGTTGCATGTGGCCTCGCAGTTACCATCATGCCCAGAAGGATTTATTTTTTTCTGCATGAAGCCGTCTGTAGCTCATAGAAACTTAGTATGAAGCAGCCCTAGTTTCAAAAATGCACAACAGTGGAAGAAGTGAGTGCATAGAGGTACTGCTCCTCTGCTGAGCTACCGGGACATGCTTCCATAGGGCCCACCCAAGAGCAAAGGAGAGAGCCGGCTTGTCTTTCAGACGATTATACGAAATCATAAAGGAAATACAAGGTTTAGCAATGCTACAAAAACATTCCATTTCCTTCCAACAAGGTGTGTTTTGTCAGGGAGAGCTGGAGAAATCGCAAATGCCTTATAACTCCCCAGTAGAAATCTCATTATCTTGCCTTTTGTTTTCTGGTGTGATGTATTCTTCTGTCATATTAAAAATGAATGGACTCTACTTTTCAAGCCCTACCATGCATCATTCTGTCGTCCCTTAGAGCGAGTCACTGTGTGTTACATTCTAACTCTTGTTCAGAAGAATTGAGTTCACAGTGGAAAACAATTATGCCTCACAATAACTTTACTAATACAGTTACTGTCAGCCAAGATCTCGCTAAGTGGGGTGTTATGTAAAGACGTAAAGTGAAGGATGGAGAGGATATTTGATTAACAGGAAGAAGGCAAAGCAAAATAAAACCCTGCTGGATCTAGAATGCTTAACTCCCGTAGCACCAGAAGTTTGTTTCTCTGTTCAGGCTGAGTAACAATTTGCTACTGAAACAGAATGAGGCGGTTCTGATGCTTTAGGGCTTCTACAAACTACCAACTAAGGACAGACCCACGGGCTACTTTAAATTGCTTTTTTTTAATGTTCACTCTAGTTTTCTGCTCTAAAGAGTGCTCTGAGCAATGGGTTGACGTGAGTGCCACACCCTGCCAAGATAGTTGTTATCTGAGAGACACCCTATTGTTTTACTGCTCCTTCCCTGCTTCTGTCTGGTTCCCAGGAGGTGGCAATTTACTGCTAGCCTATGCAATTTGTGAATGAAGACCTTTGCTATTGTCCTGCCTGTTTCTCTGGCCCATTTACTTTGCAGGCCCAGTGCTTGGTTAGCCCACGCAGAAATGTTTATTCTCCAAAGATAGAAAGAACCTTAGAAATTGTAGAGCTAGAGTAAGATTGGGATTTCTTCCCAGTGAATTTTTGATCTCCAGGCTGAAGTTACTAAAGATTTCAGTGTCTCTGAACATTGCTGCCAGTACATCACCATTTTTATGGTTAACTAAGTTTCTATCTCATCTGCATAAAAACTACTCACATCTTGTTGGTAGCTCCTGCACCAAAGTAATTTCTCTTCCCTTGCATACCCCTTATGACAGGAATTAGGAGCTGAGGAGTTCTTGTCCCTGGACCTAGACTTCTGTTAATAAAACCTAGCCCTGTGTGACTGTGTCTGTCCTATATGTAGTTGTTGGTCTAAAATGTTACGTGAGGCACTCTCCTGCATCCTCATCACTTCTTACAGAGAGTAAACTTAGCATGGTAGTTTCAATATCCACAAAGCGAGCCCATGTTCTTGCCACTCATTCTAGCAACAGCAGGCTGCTACTCCGAAGGTGAGGATGGGTCTGGCAAGTTTTTGGTTTGGACCTTTGAGTGTGCTCCCAGCAGTGTCTTCCCCTAACCCTACACCTGCACTCTGCACCTTCCCGCAATATGACTTGGCCCCACCATTACAGTAATGCTGCCAAGCTGACAGTAAACTTTGGCTGTTGAAGTCCTGCCAAGTACGTTTTGACCAGTGTTGCAAGACTGATGCTAAAATGATTTATTCTCTCTATTTATTCCAGCTGGTGGGCTTTGTCTACGCCTGTTATGTTGTTAGTGTTTTTACAGAAGAAGAAGACAGCTGTAAGTATTTATCAACAGATCCCTTGGCAAAGGTTGTATTAAATTTTATTTCTCTCTCAGATGTTTGTCTATCAGGACTGAGTCTATCAGACTTCTTTCCATCTCCCCATCGGTGTGATATGGCACTACCTACCTTTCAAGGATCAGCTGTTTTTACTGTGAGATTTTTTTCCCCCATGCCACCATGTGTTAGATGCTGCAATTCTGCTACTCAGCCCAAAAAAGCTTGGGGTTGGCTACTCACTCAGGCTAGGCTTTAGAGAAACTGGGCAGCTGCTTCTGTTCTCAAGCTTGTATAGCTTGATGCCACTGAAATATTACCATTGTAATTAGGAGTACCTACAACAAAGAATAGAGCCTGGTACTCCAGTAGGCCACCTGCTGAGTATCACATGCCACAAGCTGAGGATGAAGCAGAGCATGAGATTTCGTGCCAAGAACCAACCTGACCACTTAATTTAAAAGCAGGGGAAGTACTGTATCTGAATTACAAGAAGGAGGAAGGAGCTGACTCCCTCGTGTTTGGTATACAAATCTAAGTGTCATGTGTTCACTGTGACGCGTGTCAGAGCAGAGCAAAGACTCAGAGGAATCCCTTGGGTCTGTGGGATCCATGCAGATATCCATAACCTGGTCTTTGATTACTTTGCCTTTCTAAAACTCCCTTTGAGACCAATAATTTTGCAAACAAAAGAACGGATGCATAGGGTTCAAATAAATGTGAAGTCTGATTTCTTTGGCAATGTGTTGGGTCTAGGCCAGTTTATTCCAGGTAAGGATCTGATCCAAAGGCTTTATATCCAAATATCACTTCTTTAAGACATTCATTAGGTTTGTGCAAGGAGCTTTGTTGTTTTAAAGAGCAACTGGCATGGATTTTAGCTGAAAAACAGCTTTGAACTGAATATTTGAAAGTATGTGAAGAACGTTGATATCACAGGAGATAAGATGTACTGTCTATCTGACTTGTCCTCATGTTTTTCTGTAGTTTCCTGTGTGGCTGAACTCATTCTACTGACTGTATTGATCATTTGTTTAGAGCTTGGCAGTGCACTTAGCGGAGTGCTACGTTATAAATAATATTTTAAAAAGTACCCTATAGCTCTTCTATTAGCTAAATAGCTTGAGTTCCGAGCCCCTTTAGAATACTGTAAAATAATAACTTGAAGACCTCATTTTTCTAGTAGGGATCTGTTAGGAGAGACAGCCACACGGAAGGAAGCATTATCTAGAAATGCAGAGCTGTTAATTTCAGGATACACATTTTTTTTCCGCTAACAAATTTCTTTTCCCTCCCAGTTTCCCAGCTTGGAGTTAAAATGCCAGCTTGAATAATTAACAATGACAAACCATCAATATTTCACACTCACAGTGGTAGATCCTTCCAGTGACCCGAACAAATTTGAGCTGCGTTTTAATTTTCTCTTCCATTTGTGGTTTCCTTTAAATGTTGCTTTGATATGCAGCACGAAGTAATTATAAGTGCTGAGGCACATTAATCAGGAAGCTCATGCAAACGTGATTTTCATGAGAAAACACAGCAGTAGGGATCTACTAATGCTGAATTGTGAACAAGAATATTTTAGATGTGCTAATGCACTGTAATATATTGCAACAATGAACCACAGTTAAGATATTTATTAAGCAACTTGGATCTTGAGTGCTTCCATGGTTGGGTGCTCAGATGATAGTACTTTTGTTTGTTCAGGGTACTAGACAGGTACTGAAACTTGCAATTCTTTAAGGTTTCCTAATTTAGACATTCCACAACTGAGGTAATATAGTTAGTATCTGTTTTAAAAACTGCAGACGCTCTTGATTTTAAAATACTCAAACATTTCCAAAGGTGGCTGAGAAAAGGTCGAGACTCAATGGAACTACGGGGAATTATCCCCCCAATTAACTTAGAACCTTTACAGATTTCACCCATTAACTAACTTGTTCCAAAATCACAAATGGAATTTGTGAGAATATGTGTTCCTTGGGTTTCTAAATTTTCAGAATGTGTTCCTTGGGTTTCTAAATATATTTTAAGAGGGATTTTTTTTTCACTTCCAATATATTTAGTAAATATTTTTTCTATTGATTGTTCACTAACAAATACCAAAACTCTTTAGCTAGAATTTAAAATAATAGTGCCACCTTCAGGAAAGGAAAATAAACAGGCATTTATATAGTTAATAAGACTCTCCAGTTATATTTAAATAGCATTTGGACAGGATGGCTTTCACACTTCCAGATGAAATGCACTAACTTGGCACCAAAAAGTGGTCTAAGCTGAATCTATTTTAAAGGTTTTTGCAAGGCCGACTAGGTCAGTCACAAATCACACCACGTCATACCCCTGCTGACCCAGCTACGTTGGCCAGCTCAATAATATAGACTTGGCCTAATTTCAGGGGAACGAAGAGAGACTTGAAAAATTCTTCTATGGTTACTAAGGGAATCGTCATTTAAAACTCTCCTTGTTTAGTTACACTGCCCTTATGTGAATACTGGAGAAGGGAAGCATTGTTCCTATTTGTATACAATTAACAGAAATTGAGTTGGCAGCGGGGATGTGAAAAATATCAGAGCTGAGGATAATAAGGTATTTGAGGATAATAAGGTATTTGCAGTTTTCCAAAGCTGCTGTTGTCTGTCTTGCAGGAAAGACAAGTGGGGCAAGAAAATTCCCACTTCACTATATAACCTTCCTGGGGACTGCTGTGCTGCCAACTTCGCTGGCATTCGCTCGCGAGCCATTCGCCGGCTTCTTTCTTTCAGCACATCGCTGAACGGCTGAGGCTTTCTCAGCTCAGTTCTCATGCGAAGTCACAGTGTGGTGGCAATAGCCAAGGAGGCTGAGGGGGGCCCTCTTGTTTTTCTGGAGTCTTTTGATAGCTCTCTGCTTGTGCTAGCTGAACCTCCTGCTTGGCACACTTGTCCATCCCAGGAGATCCTGGAAAAAAGGTCTGTACAGGCAGAGATTTCCACCAGGCAATCCATACCTGAAAAATCATTTTTCTGTTCTCTCACTAATTTTTGTGTTATGCCATGACATGCACCAACTTTCTCTTTCATTTCCTTTCAGTTTTCTGGCCATGTTTGTTTATTTATTTGAGTTCTGATTTTTTTTCAGTTGATTTCATTGGTGGATTTGATCCATTTCCTCTCTACCATGTCAATGAAAAACCCACCAACCTTTTGTTCAAGCAGACATACCTGTAAGTATCACCTCCTGTGCTAAGAGGCTACGCGTGCCTCTTAGTTTGATGGCTCGAGGGTGCCGCAGGTTTGGGTTTTTTCCTCCTTGCAGGTTGATTTCTCCAGCAGGCTTTTCAGATATGGAAGGAGTGAACAAGTGGACACCAGAAGGGGTGCAACTGCCTCTGCTCAGCCCCAGGTTGCCAGGGTGAAGCTGGTGTTGCCGTACTTGGCTTATGGTAGTGCTGTTTGATAGGAAGCAGTGGAGCCAGCTATAGGATGTTACTGTAAACAAACTACTGGATGCCTTTTCCTTGAAGGAAGCAAAGAGAGGCTTTTCAGCAGTGAACGGTGCCCCAGCAGGTAAAGGTAGGGGCTGTGAGGAAGGAAGAGTCAGCCTCGGTGGATGCTGAGAGTAAGCCGTAGCGACAGCAGAGTATGATGCTCGATCTCAAGGTTACATTGTAGTCTGTCAGGCAGAACCTCGATGAAAGATCTTTACTGGGGTAAAATCTATGCAACAACCAGTTATTTAAGCCGTATTTTAGCTCTGTGGACAGACAGTCACAACTGAACTCTTGACCTATGCATCCATGCAATTTTTATCACTGACCATGTCTTTGTCATCCTCCAATAACCTTCTCATGATGGCACCACAAAATTTGACTGTCTTGGGTACAAGGTCTCCCTGTATCTGTTTGTACTGCTAGGGAACCTGTAGCATACAAAGCTAACATACCAGTGCATTAAATTGAACTGAGCCTTAGATGGTTTGAATGCAGGATGGCACAGGTTTACTCTTAAGGTTTCTTTTCTTTCTTTTTTTTTTTTTTTAATTCTGTTGCCCACAAGAACAGAGGCTCCTATGTGTGGGGCGTCCAAAGAGTTCAGCTGAGAGCAGGGAGCAGAAAGGGGGCTTGTCCACAGCAGCTCCTTTCATACCACTAATAGAGATCCACTGCTGAATTCCAGCTTCTGCCCTCTGATAATCCCTTCCCACTGCTGAAGGCAGACGATCATACTTTCACGCAGTCCACTTAAAAGATGGTTCTTAATTAGATTCTCAAACATAAAGGCCAGTATTATCTGTTTAAAGCAGCAATAAGAACTGAATTTTTGATACTCCTTGAACTGAGCTGCAAGAAGGCAGTTCCAGTGTGCAGCAATTCTTTAAAGCAGCCACCTAAGGGAGGTTGTTTTTTGGGAGTAATGTTACCAGAGAGTCCTGCCAAAAAGAAGAATGTGAGGATGGGGGAGAAAAGTGGGGCTGAGGGAAGAAAAACTGTCCCCAAACAGATTTGTAGATGTGCCCCTCTGATGTAGTAAGGACTTACTGCCACTTTGTCACTGCAGCACACGGCACAAGACCAGGAGAACAAGTCATTTTTGCAAAGCATTTAAACACGCTGTATCTTTGGGGGTGCAATAGTATTATCGGAAGGGATGCTACAGGAGATTAAATATTGATTTCCCTCTCGTTTTGTCACAGTGGGATGGAATTTTCCACAGTCTGCAGAAGCTGTGGAGCTTTAAGCAGCTCCCTGATTTACCAGCCTGATAGAGCAGTGGGCTGAGGAAACATCACGCTTTTACAGTATGGGGTGGGGGACTGCTTTTTTTCTTAAAATGATGGATTCTGTTTGTGAAAGAAGCTAGTACTTATAAATGAAGTTTTCTGTATGGGGAGATGGTAATACGAACAGAAGCTAGCAATGTAAAACTTCCTTACAAGGGCCCCAGTAAGATGGTAAGCTACTAATTAAGTGCATAGATAATTTTGTTGTCCTTCAGTCCCATTTTTTAGATCATCACTTGATAGCTGCTGCCAGCACAACATAATATTTCTTTCTGGATAATGGGAGGTGAAAACAGCTGCTGAGCAGTAGATAAGGTGATCCTCAACAAATTTCGTAACAGCCACCAAGTAGCAATTTTTGTTTATTTATTTCAGCCTAGCTCTTGCCTTTCACCCACATGTATAAATGGGAGTGAGAGGAGGAACAGATACTTGATTCTCAGCTAATGAAGCCATGGAGTTCTGCAGTCTGGGGCACGGAGAGCCAGATGCCCTTGTCCTGCTGCAAAAATAATTTTATGATAACTGAAGGCATTTTCTTTTTTTATATCCTGTTCAAGTTTAAATTTGTAGAACAGCTAGGGGTCAGGAACATGGACTTTCTGTTTTTAACTCCATTTTGCTGAAGGAAATGCTGAATGAAACTGAATCTATTCTACAACTACCAACATGGAGCTAGCTGCAGCCATGAACTTTTATTTTAGGGTGGCACCACCCCACTGTCAGTAGTCAGCTGTTCTCCTGATAATGCACTTGCCCTGTTGCCACAGCTCTCTAACTGGATCACTTTCCTTCATTCCCTAATGGAATTATCCTGTTCACTCCAGTTTTATCTATCCTTTTCTGATGAAATCACACTCTTTTTTCCCCCTCTTTCCTCTCCTCCCAGTCTGCCCTTTCCCTTGTCCTGGCTTGCATTTTTCTCTGGTCTCTCTTCATCTCTCCAAAGTTATCAATTTTCATAGATCTGAAGGCCTCACAGAACAATGACATTGACCTAGGCCGATGAGCACAGCTTCAGCCCAAGACCAACCCCGTAACCTCTGTATCAAGCACACAGGCTATGAGTTAGAAGATAACTTTTAAATATGCTGCCACGGTTCAAAGATATTAAAGGGAGACTGCTGTGTACCTTGACAGCCTACTGCAGTGGTTATCATCTGCTAAATTCAGTATTCAAAACGCATACCCCATTGCTGGCCTTCAGCTTCTATCCAGTGCACTGAAAAAGGTTCTTAAATACCTTTGCCTCCTACTAGGAGAAAAAAAATCTCCCAAAACTATTACTGATAGTAGGCACTTCCATACTGCAATCCAGTTATCTCCCAGCTTTATCATGGTAATCTACCAACCTCCTTGCCATCAGCTGCAAGCCACCAGTTAGTGAAATTTTTTTTCTTTTTTAAAAAGCCAACCACAACAAAAATCAACAAAGAGTTTTGTACTGTTGCTTACAAAGGCATGATTTAAGTGCACATCATCTTAATTAGCACCCCCACTACTCACACAGCAACAGTGATGTTCTATAAATACAGTTATTTCTATTTCAGGTTCCACGACCGCTTCTGTTCTACATTTTATTGACTCTAGGGGGTTTTGGTTGTGATGGTTCCTATTTCAAGTCACAAGCTTAAGTAAAAGAGACTCAAATTATAATGAAAAAAATTGTTCTGAAAGTTTTACTGTGTAGTAGGATTACCCTTAATCTCACTGCTCCTTACCAGTCAAGGCACAGCTCTAATTATTTAACAATAATATATTAGGAATCTTGACAGAAGATATGTTCAAGTCTCCAGTGCGTGAGTTTCTGGGTCAAAGCACTTAGCCAAAGGATAAGAAGTCACTTATTGAAAAGTTATTCTCCTGAGGCCAAAAGAGAACCTTTCCCATGAGTTTTCAGGAAGGAAAGGCTGAGCTCTTACCCCTCCTCAGCTAAAGCTCAAATTCAGGCTGTGCTTGCTTGCACCACTGTCTCCTCTTGGGCTGCGCTGGACAGGACATCAGCTCAGGGTCTCTTTTCTTCTTGTTCACTTGTAGTAACAGAATTCTCATCATGTGAGGCAAGGAAGCATTACTG